CCGTCTTGGACCACTGGCTCCTCTCCAGGGATGAGGGCGGTGGGATGCGGCAGGTCACGGGGACCAGCTAAGCCACCTGCCCCTTGAAGGCTTCGTTCGCCGTGTGCCTGGACACTGCTGTGTCCTTCCCTGGCTACTCCTTCACGCCTCTCCTCGCTCCCACATTGTGGGTGTCCAGTCCCCCTTGTTTACGGAAGGGGGTGGGGGAAGAATCGAGGGGGAGGCAGCCTGCATCCATCCCAAACAGAAGTCTTGGCGTGTGACTCATCAGCTTGGCTTTAAAGATCTCCGTTGCTTCATTCAAAGGAGCGCACTCCTCTTCAGAGGAGCCCCATGGTTGTTCCTGTCTGCTCCAAAGAGGATGGATTGAAAGCTGCGTCTTCTGGGCGTTGCTTGAGGCAGTGCTGATCTTCATGGACATGATGGGGCTTTTTCACTGGATTATTGCCAGGATTAGTTTACACACTGAAACCGTGCGTTGTTAGGCCTTGCTGGCTGCAAGTTATGTTTGTCTTGTGTTCATGTAAAGTTTCTGTGGAGATTTGGGTTAAAAATTGTGGCGGGTAGCCTGCATCAGAAGAGATTCTCTTCCTCCCTGGTTGTTGTGACAACCGCAATCTGTCCTCGATGCCTTCAGCCTTGGCCATCTTCGCTTGCCGCCCGAACTCTCACCCGTTTCAGGAGCGCCATGTCTACCTGGACGAGCCCGTCAAAATTGGCCGCTCAGTGGCCCGCTGTCGGCCAGCTCAGAATAATGCTACTTTTGACTGCAAGGTGCTGTCCAGGAACCATGCACTTGTCTGGTTTGACCACAAGACAGGCAAGGTAAGGCCACTTTTGCTCTCCTAGAGAGGAAAATAATATATGACAGGTTATTTTTAGCAAGTCATTGTACATTATGAGTGACTTGTGTTTTCCTTGAACTTGGCTGCAAACTATGTTTATGCTGTGGCTAGGGTTTTTGGGTTTTAGTTAACTTAAACTCTATTAAAGGCAAAAAAACCTGAGAGCAGGGTTTGTGAAATACATTAAGTACTGGAGGAAGCTGGTAGATGTTCCCATGATCACTTCTCATTTCTGGGGATGCATGACTTTCAGGGAGGAGTATTTTATATAACTCAAGGAACTGAGTTATAAAACCTGAAGTAAGGTAAATAAATGCTCATCGTGGTAACCATGAATAGTTATTGTTACTCTGGTGGAACTGGCATCTTGCCCCAATGCTGTGTTAAAGTGGATGTATCGACATTTAGTTTTTTCCTAATACTTAAATATGTATCTGGTATTCATATGCTCAGAAGAACGACTCTTATTTTTGAGCAGCTGTCATGCCTAAAGGAGAACAGCAAAGGAAAAAATGTATTACTCTGCTATTCTGCCTATTTATGTTATCAAATTTTGAACAATATATTTTAATATTCCAAGCTGATAGTCGCTGTATAACTAGCAGGAGCCATTGTAGTTTAAGGTTTGGAATATCTGCTATCATTGCTTGTGAACTGGAATTAAAATATGCTGATGTGGTGTTAACCTGGCTATAATCCTTTCAAAAGAGGACAGCAGCTAGCACTAAATGGAAGTTTAGGGGCTGTGTAATACTTGTGTATGTCCACTAGGGCCTGAACTGGAACAGGCAAAATCACTTTGCTTAACCTGTTAAACAAAATTTTTAAACTGCTAACTAGTAGTGAGAGCTGTTTTCTTTCTCCTCAAAATCTTCAGTCTCTCAAAAATATGTACTAAGTACCATGAAATATTTTGAAAAAAGGATATAAAATGGGTGTGGTACTTTACATACTGTAATCTAATTCAGTTGTCTGGTGACTGTCTTTCTGTATGTGTTCCTCTATTAATTACTCTTTTTATTGCTTTGTATTCTAACAGAATACCCTGAATAAGCAGCTGCATTGGGTCTTTTGTTTGTTTGGTTTTTTTCTTTATTATCATGACACAGCACGGGGACCAGTGTGATGCCCTACAAATTCTTAAAGCATCAGATGTTAACTACTATATGTTATGCAATACATAGGCATGATAGGACAGGATATGAGTTTAACTTTATTAGGTTGGGTTGGGGCATGACTTGTAGATTACTTGCGCATAATTGCTCATTAACCTATTATTTGTTTTGCTAGTTTATTTGACACGTTATGATTCCATGCTTGATGCATTGCATATAGGCCGTTTAGGTTATAACATCAGTTTAAAGACCTGGGAAGCTTTCAAGTGTGAACTAATAATGCAGTTTTTCTTGTTTGACATAATTAGTTGGATGCGGTAACTTAAACTATCTGGTGTAGTCCAGCATTTTTGACAGATACATTCCAATTTTATACTGCTTTCTGTCTGAGCTGCTTGGTGCTTTACGAACTTAATTAAGCTGCTCAACACTCTTGTGATGTGTAAAAATGGGCATCTTTATTCCTAAGGTTCATTTAATTCACAGGGAGGCTTTGGTGTTGGGCAGATCAGCTAATTGTTGGGAGTGCTTAAAAGACAAGCAGCTCTGTTGTTTTAGTCTAGTGCAGTTAGCTTTAGACTTACCAATGCAAGTAAAACATGAGCTTTCAACATAGCTTTTTTCATGTTTATTCTGTAAGTTGCTGGTTTGAATCAACCCAAGTCCATCTTTCATTTGCTATGATTGCTGGGCCTCTAACTTGGACAGGGGTCTCCCTCATAAACCCATCATCACAAATATTAAGCTTGCAGGCACTTCCAGCCTATATGGAGGAATGATTTATGTTAGAAAATTCATTGCCTCCTATTTCCCTGATGAAGCTGTTCTGAAACAGAGTTGAGGCATGGTTGTATGGCAGAGAAGCGAGGCTTGAACCCTTTGGCTGTCGGGAAGTATTGAGTTTCTATGTCTGTCTGAATTTCTGTATGAAAAGTAAATTCCAAAGAGGGTGAAGTGGTGGTTGGGAAGGGAGGAAAGATATGCTTTGTCAGACAATATAGTTTTATTGGTATCACAATGCAGAAGATATAAACACTGTAGGGAAAATGCAGTAGGAAAACAAGTGGAGAGGGAAAATCCTTAGCTTCCTTCTGTAATAAATCACAAAAATACACAGCTCTGTTTACAATTCCTTACTCTTAAACCTGCAGTGTTGGCAGAATACAAACAAAAACAGCAGTGGAATCAAAGCATGTTGCTAACATCTGCAGGCAAACATGTTACCGTAGCCAACTTTTTAAATCAGTTTTTATTGCCCAGGAATATTTTATTAGCCCATCCGTAATGTAAGCTTAAAAGTAGATTATTTTATTGTTCAACATGATTGAAATTTTTTCTGAAACTTATCAACTCTTATCTTTTTATGAAAGCTTAGGCGATATTTTTAAAGTACTGTGTAATGGAGAAAATTATTAGAAATGAGTAAGATTTGACACTGATCTGAGGTACCAAGGCTTACATGGAATGAGTAGTTCACTGTCAGTGTGGCTGCTTTATGCACAGCACTAAGTGACTGTTAAAAATGACATGATGCTTGTTGAAATGTGTGCTATACTGAGAATAGGGTCTTTCAAACAGGTCTGAAAAAGTTCCCTGTTCAAAGAAGCTAATTTTTGTAAGACCAAACAGTATTAACAATGAAAGTAAGGTGCAAAAATGGGAGTGTGTTTTCAGGGGAGACCTCTTGAGAGTAAGTAAAATAAAAATGGCTTTTAAAGGGAAATGTCTAATTGAAAGTTGAACTTCTATCTTAAGAAAGTTATCTACTATTAAAAGTAACAATGAAATCACTAAGTAAAAGAGGGGGACTAAGATTGGTTTTCAGGTTTCCTCTCTGTACTTGGAAAGACTTGATAAATAATCACCTTTTATTGTTCTTTGTATAGATAGCACCCCTTTGCTTTTGGGTTTTTGCACACCAGAACAGTTTTGCACCTAAAAACACATCCAGAGTACATGCCCTGTTGTAAGCTACTGACGCGCAGAAGCTTTTTGCTGAGTTTTTTTAACCTTGGAATAAAAGGGGTGCTAGGCATGAGAAGTTACTGCTGGCTGATACAGATTTCCCTGCAGAGGTACCAACCAGAGCAACTGCTGCAGAGTTAATACTCTAATTGTTGGAGCTTATCTGAAGCAATTGTAGAGCATCAATCCTGAGACAGGAGCACCAACATATTGATTAGATTAAAAAAAAATATATGTGCTTGAAATGAGATTTCACAAGCCTTGAGTGATTTTTTTTTTTTTTTTAAAACTCTTTTGCATTAAAAAAGGCCAGTGAATGAATTTTCATATAACATGATGGTTTCTGTTTATGCCCAGGCCCATAGTGTAAGCATAAAACCAGGCTTTTCCTCTATATTTACATTGCCTAAATTTTTCACTAGAAAAAGTTGGATCCATCCTAGAGGTTTGTGTTGCTTTTAGTATACTGGTTTTCACCTAATATAATTAAAGCTGTGCAAAATTTTGCACATAGCTGCAGTCTTTGGCTCATGAAATTTTGTTCAGTCTCTGCTGAGAGACTGTTGAAGCGCCATTTTGTTTCTCACTTTTGATGCTTAGGAAAATTTGTAAGTGTGCCAAAATAAATGGGTACTGACTCTTTGGAAATGCTGGACTCGCTCTCCTGCACCAGCAGTACCACATTCTGCAATATTGGAAAAAACCCAGTTGTTGTAGATAACATCCCAGACTGCCAGAAAGTCCCTGTGCTTGGGTGAGATTGAGGAACAGATCAAAGGTGTGCACCCTTCAGCTACATCCCAAACCCATCAGCCTTTTCTTGCCCACAGTAGATGTGGTTGGTCCTGAAGCCTAAGTAGTCGAAGTCTCTGCTGTAGTGGTAAAGGAAGAGGGTTCATGTACTACTGATTGGAGGATTTTTAAGGCTGTCAAACCAACCATGTCAGGTTAATGGTTGCCATCGTATCTTTAATTTTATCTCCAGTTGCGTGCATTACTTTCACCTGGGCTACTGTTAATCTGATATTTCCTAACTGTGGAAGACTTGACTTTCTAACCTAAATGAATTACTTTAAATGTAACTCTTTTGTGGATAATATTGACTAGTAGCGCATGAACATTATTTTCCCCCTGTTAATCATTTTGTTGATTCCTTTCATCAAATTATATCAGCTGGGAGCATGGGGTATTTGATTTGACAGGTCAAAAATAATAGGTCAGGTGAGTGGTCAAACAGTATCAAATAATGATCAAATTATTATTAGAACAGTGAAGAGGGAGACTTTAATCTTCATGCTACTTAGAAAAAAACCCAAATCAGTTACCTGCTATTGTGAAACAATTAAATAAGATTCTAAAAAACTGTAATTAATTTTTATAACAGCATTAGGTAATTGTAAATATGAATAATATTCAAGATGCAACAGTTTTTCTTTTCTTTGGGACATATCTTGAAACCCCAGGATTAGCTTGGACAATGACAAAAAAAAGACTGAAGAAATAAAAACAAATAAAATGCATAGTAAATACACAGCTGAGGAAAAAATGACAAAACTTTATAAGACATTTGTTGGCTCTAAGTTAACTTGAATCAATCAGGAAAGAGAAAAGTGTCTGTTCTGAGAGAGATCATTTGAACTATATTAAGCAGTAGTTCAGAAGAAGTTAAGATGTACAAGTAGAACAGAAAATACTGAAAATATTATGGTGTTCTTTAAATTGACAGTGTGTCACCTGGAACAGTTTGTTCAGTTTTAGTAATTGAATCTTAAAAAAATGTAGCTGAAATAAGGGTTCAGGCCTGTGATGAGAAGGAATACGGGTATGGAAAGGCTTCGCTGTGAAGAAAGATTGAAGTGATCAGTGTTGTTAGTTAAGAGGAAATATATAAAACAATAAT